AGATGGCGCACGATAACAACATTAAAAAGTTTATGTATAAGAAAGGCTAAACAGGTATGCCTAAGCCAAATTTCTTAGAGTCTTGTACATATCACAAAGAGTTTTAAAGATCACTAGAACAGTTTACTGGTTTTAGAGAAAGTATTTTGGGCAAAGGATTGACATGATGACATTGATATTTTAAAAAGGTGATTTGGGCTTCAGTGTGGAAGAGGATAAGATTGGAGAGGAGACAACAGTTAAGAGAATACTGCAATAATCAGGCAAGAATTAGATCCTGAAATAAGGCAGTGATACTGGGAATAAACAGGCTGTATTTGAGACACATTTAAAGAGCAGAAATGTCAGAATTTGGCAAAACAAAGCAGATGTGGAAGATAAGAAAACAGAAAAAGTCTAGATTGATTCTCAGGATTGTCCCTTCAGATACTGGGTAGATAATGGTGTCTCTGACATAAACTGAAAATAAAGAAGAAGCAACTATGAGAACGAGACAGGAGAGGGGAGAAGGAGAGTAAGGGATGATCCGTTCCATTTCCAGTGCGAAAAATTTGAGATTTCTGAGGAACATTAAGTAGAATTCCTCAAAAGAGATCTGCACTGGAAACAAGAAATGTGGAGAGGTTTAACTTATTGACAGTATCTGAAGTCATGCATAATTAAGAAAGACTAAAGAGTGGCCACAGCAGTATACAGAAAAGCAGATGAGTGTGTTGACATTTCAGAAACAAAATTTTTTAAATGTTTCAAGAAGAGAATGATCAACAGTGACAAACAGAAAATGCCAGTTAAAATAGAAACTGGACAGTGTCCGTTAGATTTGGAAACCAGAAGGTTTTAACTGGCCTTGATTAAAAACAGTCTCAATGGAGTTGCAGAGGCAGAAGTCAGATACTGACTGAAATAAATACGACATTATGCAAGTCCACCCCACCTCACAGGGCTCCAGGCCCTACAACTACACATTCTTGCTCCTGTAGCTACAGTGCAGCTTACTACACCTAAGAATTAGGAAGAAGAGCTCCACAGACACATCCAAACTCCCTGAGAGACCAAATTATTGGGCTGATGGCTGTGGGGACCCTGGTCTTGGGGAACATCTAGCTCAATTGGCATAACACAGTTTATAAAGAAAATGTTGTACATACTACTTTGGTGAGTAGCGTCTGGGGTCTTAAAAGCTTGTGAGTGGCCATCTAAGGTACTCCATTGTTCTCACCCCGTTGGGACAAAGGGAGAATGAAGAAAACCAAAGACACAAGGGAAAAGTTAGTCTAAATGACTAACAGACCACAAGTACTACAGCCTCCACCAGACTAAGTCCAGCACAACTAGATTGTGCCTGGCTACCACCACTGACTGCTCTGACAG